AGGATTTGTCAGCAGGATTTTAATCTCTTTTTTTTTTTCATTTTAGTTTGGACAGAGATTGAAATATTAACCTTGATTCTGATGATCAGGTCCAGTCAGTATTCAGTGGGAAAACTTTTTGACTCATGGGCCACAATTGTCCTAAAATTGAACGGGGGGGGGGGGCAGGTCAGGAGCAGATGGATGGAGCGTTCGTGTGGGCTACGATAAATGATATGTTAAAGTCATGCATAAAGGCTAAAATGTTGTTTTTTCTTTCTACGCCATCTAATGGGAAAACGTGGGTATTGCAGGGAAAAGGCAGACGTATAATGATAATATAAATTCATTATATAGTTTAGAAAAATTTGGCGGGGCCGGATTAAAAAGCTAAATGGGCCGCATCCGGCCCCCGGGCCTTAGTTTGCCCACGCCTGTTCTTAAGCAACAGGGTTTTGATCTAAATCAATTTCATTGTAAATTGAATGAAATGCTCTCACACATGCTTTTTGTTCTGCAGGACAGAAACACAGAGTTAAATATAGCTGCAGGGTAACGATTCTTTTAAGTGGGCAGGGGGCAAAAGGCAGCTGGCCAAAGTCCAGACGGTCGGGAGAGGAGGTCCTGAACTGGAGAGACACAAAGATAGAACAAGGAAACAATCAGACACGGAGACACGGTGAATGCATGGAGAGACGGACGAATCAGATCCAGCACAGCCGGGTGAGAAAGGGCCAATCCATCCGAGCCAGTTGCCGTAGTGAGTGAACAGTTAACAAGCCCCACAGGCGGGTTTTACAGCCCCCTGTTGTGTGTCGGAGACCCCCCAGGGTGAAACGGGGCTGATGCCGACTGATCCTGACAGAGTTTATGTGGCTGTTGGGGGGGTGGGGGGGGGGCAGGGAAGAGATCCAGACATGTAAAAAAAAAAGTGGTCATGAACCAACAACTGTCACTTATTTAAGCGCAGCGCAACCACCGAGACAAGGCCTCGGCCGAGGAATGTATGCACGCACCGCACTCAGCCATACGTCTGAGCATGGGAGCAGCGAGGCCATTAAATCTGACGGGTGTGAGGCAGAGGTGAACGCCGAGGCGATGAGGCTGTAGTCCAACGAAAGGAGGATGGGAAATCTCACCCAAAAAAAGCGGACCAATAAAACACCTCCAAATCAAATCCCAGTGCTCTTATCGCGGCGCCATACGTAGACGGTATCTGTGCAGGTAATGTGGTTATAAATTCAATTTCAGCCCAGAGATTTCATTGTTTACTGATGCCTGCATGTTCCAGGCGGCAGAGCGCAGGAAGCCCGGGAATGCTCAATGCGTGTCGGTAAAAGTCATTTAGTTTTCCACCAGGGGATGCAAAAAAGGCGAGGGAGTGAGGACGGGGTGGGCAGAGCTGTCACACTCCCAAGGACACCTGACTCCTCTTTCTATTTTCCACTCCATGTTTTATTTAGAGGCCATTTTGTCCTATTTGGTTCCTCATTATGGCTCCTCATAGCTCAACTGATGTCGGGGGACGGCTTTTTGCCGGCAGACGAGCTTGTCATGTCACTGGACGTTGGGAGGGGAACATTGGGACCAAGTCTTAGTCCAGTTCCCGGGTAATAAGGTCCTCAAGGAAGTTCACTTCGCCGTGCTCCAGGAAGTGACAAATACTCCAAAGTATTCCAACGTTAGAGGGAGTTGCATTGTTGCTGCCAGCGCTGTCATTGGGTTTCTGCTCACTGTGGGTTGATGGGAAATTAGGTGGATCTCACCGACCACCTGTACTGCAGTAAAAGTACTGTTACATCAGAATAATAATACTCAAGTAGAAGTAAAAAGTAGTAATCCAAATAATTTACTCGAGTAAGAGTAAAAAAAATACTTGGTCAAAAAAACTACTCAAGTACTGAGTAACATGTGATTTATTTTTTAATGAGAATTCAATAAAACAATAAAATAAAAACAAATTAATTAAATACCTTTAATAAAATAACATTTAGGTAAATTCAAGAACTTCAATAAAAAATTTAAACCAGTGAAATAATACATTAAAATTTACAAAATAAAAAAAAAAGATTTTAGGTCAAATTTACTGCAACATATTTCCTCAGGTCGGACGTTGAGTTTTGTAGTGGAGTAAGAGTAAATCTACTCAAGTAAAAGTATAAAGTATAGTGATTTAAAACTACTCCTAGAAGGTTTTTTTTTAACGTACTCAAGTAAATGTACCAGAGTAAATGTAACTCATTACTGCCCACCGCTGGTGATGGATGGTTGTTGGGAGTGAATCACCTCATCTACGAGGTAGAATCTTGATGTAGCGGCGCTGCTCAGCTAGCTGCTTATGGCGGTAATCAATCAGTGGCAGCCAATGGGCCGAGTGGCTCTCCTGGGTAATGTCCCCGTTGACAGACTGTGATGTCAACACACGGACAGCAGGGGGCCAAAGGCGTTGTCAGTGTGTTTGTGTGTGTGTGTGTGTGTAACCCTACTTTACTACAGTGTACTCAGTGTACTGTATATGTCAGTACTAGTGAATTAGAAACAGCTCATGTTCAACAGCAGCGGAGCGCTGACTTCCTGTCTGAACAGCAGTGGAATATGTAGTTTAGAGCGGGTTGAGAAAGGTCGCAGGTTTGATTCCAGCCTTTGCTCACGTGCACAACAACGTTGTGTCAGCAGTTATAAACTTGACATATTTTATGAACTGATTATTATTTTTATTATTATCTACTGTTTACACTTTAATACACACTAATAATAGATGTGTTAGTTGAATATAACAGTTTAAAAACCAAACTGTAGTGTTTTAAAAAAAAGAAAAAGTTGAAAGGAATCTTACGATGGATTGTTAAATATTAAATGAGCTCCTTGGCAGCGATACAAGTCAAATAAATCTAGAGTTTCGTTCCTTTCTCAGAGCGGAGCAGGTTAAACGTCTAATAAAAACTCTGAGATTCTTTTACAAACTTGTGCTTGTTTTTTTATTGACTTTTTATCTAAAAAATAAAAAATGTGTTCTGCAGCTGGATCGGTTCTCGTTTCCATTTTGGAGTTCCTGTTTTTGAACTTCTGTTCAACTCTGTTGTCTGTAAACATCGAGGGGTTTGTGGGTATTTTCAAAAACTTTTTTTAATTTTTTAATCTGATGAATCACAGAGTAGCTGTAATCAATAAATATATGATATATTGTAATATACTGTGACACTATAGGCACGATCAACGTTCAACGATATATTGAGAATAAAATAAATCAACACTATTTGCATATTAGCTGCTAATAAAAAAACAATCGCTACAGTGCTGTATAATATCAATACGTGAAATGACATATCGTCGACTTCACGTTCTCAAAATCAGTGATTTTTTTTTCCTTTCTTCCTCCAGGCAGGGTGAAGACTCTGTTCGACGCTCAGGCTCCGATGTGTCCGGTCTGCCAGGCCGTGCTCCGACCCGGCGAGCTGCAGGAACACATGGAGCAGGAACTGACCAAGCTAGCACAGCTACAGATCAGGTACGTAAGTCGTCGTCGTCGCCGTCGTCTTTAACGTTGAATCTTGAATTGTTTTATTTTGTGTCGTTTTTTTTCTGTTTGACACGTTTTAACCCTGAGGGATCCCTGCCCCCCCCCCCTCTGTGTGTTTGCTTTGCTGCTGATTCCCCACCAGTGTCCCTCCCTAATGAATGGACATTTAATGATCTGAGAGGGCCTTTCAATTGAGTGGAAAATGTGCAGGTCTCAAACGTAGACCTTCCCCTTCCCTCCCAGTGGAAACAAAGCCCCTGCTTCTGCATGCACACACACACACACTCACACACACATTACCTGCTGCTTAGACTAGAAGAATGATTCCTCCAATAAAGACATTACACTCCAAATCTGCTTAACGACCGCCGCGTGGACAGTAATGGTTTCAAATTGAACTTGGCCTACGGGGACATTCACTCTGTGTGCATGTGTGTGTGTGTGACCGTGTGTGTGTGATGTGCGAGACAGCGAGTGTAATTGTACCATAACAGTACCTATGTTTAGTGCAAAGCAGTGAAATGCGATTACACGTTGATCTAGAAAAGATAAAAGCAGACGTTGTTGTTTCACCAGACGACGTTTTGGAGGGAAAATTGTGTCTGTTTATTATTTAACAGGATTGTGTTGTGGACGTGACGGTGTGTGTGTGTCGGACCAGTTCAATGTGTCATAAAATATCCTGCATTATTTTCTTCTTCTTTTTCTAAAGTGATGTTCCAGCTCAACACGACCTCCTGTTAAAACCCCCCAAGGTAAACACCAGTGATGTCACGGACAAACAATCTTAATAAGTTCACTTTAAGACTTTCTCGACTCACTCGTGTTGTTGGTTTTTTGTTTTTTTTTTCCAGTCTCTCACTTTTTCTCTGCATATAAAGCGTGAAGGAGGTTCTCCGACTTCGCCCTCTCGGCCGGCGGAGGACACGCACTCTGACCGATATCAGGTACGGATCAAAGGAACTTTTAAATTAGATTTAGTTAATAAAAAAAAAAATTTTAAAAATGACTTTAACTAATCAGTTGAAATATATTACAAATATAATATGAAAAAAATTAATAAAAAAAAGTACAACATTTATTTTTTTCCAATTATTATTTCTTCCCTTTTTCTCTTTTCTTCATATCAAACACATTGAGTTAAAAAGAAAGAAAAAAAAAACCTGATGACAACATGTTGACGTTTCCGTTGTTGCTCCTCCGTCTCTTGCAGACCTTCCTGCGTGTGCGTGCCAACAGACACACCAGACTGAATGGTAGGTTGATGCATGCAGACCCGGAGCAGTCATGTTTCATTGGTGCTGTGTTCACCACACTTGGGTCTTTTATTTTTTTTATTTTTTTTTAACATTTAAATCGTAAGGTCGTCGTCACCGTACCGTTTTTGTGCCCCCCCCACCTTTTTTTTTTACTCCTGCCTCATTTGTCGTTCAGACCCACACCATCTCCACCGGCCTAGCGCCCACACGAGCAGAGGAGCTATTAACCTTTCAACTTTGACCTCTTGATATGTTAACAGTCGACGACCTCTGCTGGTGCAGGTGCTACGTCAAATCTGCCCCATTACGCCCTCACAGCACAGGAGCCCATCTAGACTGCACACAAGCCGGTAAGAAACACAGAGATTTACGTTCTCCATCCCCGAGAAAAAAAAAAAAAACATAAAAATTGATGATAAAAAAAACATGTGCAAAAAGTTAAAAAGTGTTTTATTCTGTCAGTAAATACATAAATACATGATGTATATATTTCCCATTTACAACATGTACTTTTTAATGTTGCAATTACAGACCATGAATTATATCATTGTGGATTTTTTTTTTTTAATTCTCTTCATATATATCACCACATATAAATATATACTCTAATATATATATATATATATGCATGAAATACAACCATTTAGAAGGTTAAATATAACATTCACAATGTCTCCATGAATATTTATATTATAATAATAATATATGTATATATGTATGAGTGTATTTCCTGACCCTTTTTATAATTTTTAAAAAGTGAACTGTAGTACCAGTAGTACCAGTGGTACCAGTGGTACCAGTGGTACCAGTTGTACCAGTAGTACCAGTTGTACCAGTGGTACCAGTGGTACCACTGACTGCTGGTACCACAGTGAGATGGTGTGGTTCTTGGTCGACTCTTCAAACAGCCAGTGCTGTCGAGCTCCGTTAGCCTTTATTGGTCGTTAGAACAGGAGAGCATAACGAGCTTCTAAATTCACTGCACACACACACAGAGAGAGAGAGAGAGAGAGAGAGAGAGAGAGAGACACCGACTCTCTGTTGATTAATCAACCTCTCTCTCTCTCTCTCTGATGAGCTCTTCCTCGTCTTTGACCGTCTCTTTAACCCTCATTATGTTCGCTGGGATTGCAGCGCTGGGGTCACGGCCACCAGCACCGTAGGTGC